TATGCTTTTCGGGGTATGACCACAGGCCTATTGATAATTGTCCACTGTTAACTATCTAGGCCTAAAGCATAAGAATCATGGGTTATCTTGATTGTATATTTCTTTTCCTTTGTTCAGACTAGTTTCATGGAATTTGGGGAGGTGGGTTTGGGCATGTACACTAAGGGTATATAAGGTTTTCACAAAAACTGGACGGGGTCCTTGGCTAAGAGGAGACTCTGCCTTGGGCTCGCTGGTGTAATAAACTGCACTCCACTATCTGCATTATCCTTCTGAGTGAGTTTGTTTCCCAGAACATATGGCTACAACAGTGTCATGGGCCAACTTATGTCCCCTTAAAATTTATATGTTGAAGTCCTAACTGCCAGACCTCTGAATGTAGTTGTACTCACAGATGGGGGCCTAAAAAGGTGATTAAGCTAAAATGAATTTGGGTCCTTAATCCAATATAACTATTGTTCTTATAAGAAGAGATTGGGATACAGACATGCACAAAGAAAGGGCTATGTGAAGACCCTTGAGAAAGTAGCATCTACAAACCAAGGAGAGAGGCCTCAGACTGAAACCAACCCTGCTAACACCTTGATCTGGGATTTACAGGATGAAGAATGGAGGGAATACATCTCTTTTATTAAAGCTGCCCAGCTCATGGTACTTTGTTATAAAAGCTCAAGCAGACTAATACAGATAACAACCAGTTGGCTTTGCTTATCCTTGTGTGTCCCCAGTCCAGGACTGAGTAGGCACTCAATAAACATTGACCAATGAGTGAATGAAAGTGCTGAGAGTCCAGTAGCAGCTCTAAGGTCAGTTTCCACCTGCTTCTTCTCTGCATGATTGGTTTCAGCTGCTCAGAGCAACCCTTTCCATTTCTGTGCTTCTGAGACATGACTTCAGGTCTCTGTATTTTTCCTGGGTGAGACAACATGCTAGCATTTGGAGCTGATGTGTTTGTATATGGAGGAAGAACAAGATATGAGGCAGAGTGTGATATTCAGTGATCATTTCTCCAAAATAATTTTTTTTTTCATTAAAAGAGTTAAATTTACTCACTGAAAAACTTGGAAAATAGAGAAATGTGGGGAAAGGAAAAATCTATCACCCATTATTTTCAATACTCAAGAAAATTGCTATTAACATTTAGTGTATCTCCCTCCGGTCTTTTTTCTTCTGTAGATTTTCCTTTGTCATATAAATAGCTGTGGTTCCCCACTATACATATATTATTTTTATTCAGACAAAATGAATTTAGCCCATTTTCCCCAACACACATGTTTAATGGCCAGCTACAAAACATGTTATTGAGTTAATCTACCACAATTTAATCATTGCCCTATTACTTAGGCATTAATTTTTCCCCCCAATTTGTCACTGTTTTAAACAATTCTATAGTAACTATCTCTTGAATATTTTGTTTTGTAATGATTTCCAAAGATGGAGTTTCTGAACTAAAGAGTATGACTAATTTTTTTGGCCCTGGAGTATGATTACCAAACAGCTTTATCAAAAGGGTCAAGTGGTTATACTGCCCCTGGCAGTAAGATCACAAGTGCCCCCAACACTCTGGTGACCTGTCCTTTGGAGGGCTAGCTAAAAGCTTATTAAGAAGTAAGACCAGTGGGCAGCTACTGAGGATACCTCCAGACAGATGAGGAAGTCAAGCCACTGAACAGTTGCTAGACCGGGCAGTGGCTCTGAACTGGTGGTTAATGATGTTCTCTGCTTTCTTCCAGGGTCATCCAGTGATTCTAAAGATGCCCATTTGGAGACTGCAAGCCTTCAATTTCAGTAGGGTTGAAAGGATGATGCTCCAAGTGGGGATTAATCAGTGATCCCACCAGTTCCTCTTAGAAGTTTCAGAGACTTATGGGACCTTTCTGGGGTTGCTTCTCATTTCCCCACTCTTGATTTCTCAATTTACTCCTTTGAATCTTTCCAGAAACCGTCTTTGGAAGTTCTGAAACAAAGGCCATCTAATGACCATAAAAACAAAAAACAAGAAAACTCTTTACAATTATCATTTCACAGCAAGACTTCTGTCCTGAAAGAATCATTACCCTCTGACATGTCATTGGAAAGCATCCATGATTCCTGGTTTTCCCCAAATTGCAACAATAAAAACAGCTGGCCTGGAATACATGCACTTTCCAAAAGCATTTCAGTACCACCCACTGAATCTTGTTTATGCCAATTCTTAGGGTGGGCACACAGCATGCTCTAAGGAAGGCCCAGTGAAGAAACAGGGAGACATGGATGAAGCAGCAGCTAGAGTTACATAGTCTTCACACTCCTAGTGCCTGGCCCTGAGTAGGAATTCTAGGAGCACATACCCATTTGATTTCCCAGCTTTTCAAGTCCTAGGACTTCCATATGTTTACCTTCCTGGGGTACTTGTATGGAGCAGTCACCCTTTTCACATGCTCCTGGAGTTCTTGGGTTAGNTGTTTTGTTTTGTTTTACCATCTGAGCCACCAGGGAAATCTTTTAGGGCTCATTACTTACAGGTTTTCCTATCTATGAAGGCAGCTAGGAATAGGCTTGGAGAGGCAGGACTGGGGGGAAATTTATACAATTTTCAAGGGGTGGTGGGTCTTTCTGAGACTGCATGTATGAGTATTTGCAACCAGCAAGCATTTTTCTGCACAGCTGTTTCAGGCATCCTGAAACATCCTGAACATTCTGTACCTAGCTCTCTCTGCCCATATCTTTCTTGCAGGTTGCCTCTTACTAAGGACAAGAAACAGTCCAAAACTCAGGCACAATTGAACATGGTTTCTGATGGAAACCATGGAAGAGTTCATGGAAGAGTTCAAAAGGCCAGCATACAACTCTGCCAACAATACCCTAAGCAGTGGTTCATTGTCTTTACATACATTCCAGTGGTGGGCATCTCATACCATTTTAGGTGAAGATAGATCTGGCTTTTAGGAAGGGCCTTCTCTTACTGTTAAAACTATCCAGAATTTATCAAACAGTTTCTATGTGCCAAGTTCTATTCTGAGCACTATACTTGACTTAACTTTGAACACACAGGCATTTGTCACAGCCCCAGTTAATTTGGGGCATTCAGGACTAGACATACATTTCCAGGTACAATTTCTGTACCTCAAAGATGGGACTCTCGTCTCCTTCCTGTATATTAGTGGTCTCAAATTTTAGTGGGTATCAGAATCACCTGGCTAGGGGCTTCTGGTCAAAAATGAAGATTCCTTAAGGCTGCAACCCCAATCACTTTGACTCAACAAGTCTCACTTTAAGTCTAGAAATCTGTATTTTAAACAAAACTCCCAGAAGATGCAGCTGTGAGCAGTCTAGGGTCCAGGCTTTGCAAATCACTCCTCTCTCCTGAGGCTTCTGAGGATGCAGCTTGATCTTGTACTAACTTTCATAAAGTAACTACATTATACATCAGGATTATGTTGGATTTACAGCCACTGAAAAGTTCATATTTCTGCCTATGAGTTTATTTCTCTCATACTGTCCCTTCTTCTGGGACCCATTGGAAGGTATTTGCATATTTCCCGAGAAAGGCCAGCTTATTAAAATTGGCTCATCTTTCTCATATATCATGGACTTCCCAGATGGTACTAGTGGTAAAGAATCTGCTTGCCAATGCAGGAGACACAAGAGATGCAGGTTTGGTCCCTGGGTTGGGAAGATCTCTTGAAGTAGGAAAGGCTGCCCCACTCCAGTATTCTTGCCTGGAAGATTCCATGGGCAGAGGAATCTGACAGGCTACAGTCTATGGGGCTGCAAAGAGTCGGACATGACTGAGTGGCTGAGCACATCTGACATATCAAGCTCACGTGGGATATTTATTGTGTCATCCCTCAAGTTGGCTATCCCTACCAGGTCACGGCCAACAGTGACCATGTTTGGCATGCTCACTATACTCTCATCTGCAAATGGAAAAGGACCTTTTATTGGACAGGATGAATGACAAAGTCTGCACCTGCCACCAACATCTCCATCTAATAGCCCCTTTTGGATCCAGTTCCATGTCCAGTTGACACCAAAATGTTTATATCTTCCCATGGTGTCCCTCTGGAGAGTATTTGTATCCTTAAAGACATGAAGGCAATGCTTAACCAAAAGACATGTATATTTGCCTGATGGTGGCATTTCAGACTTTGCGGTACCTGGATGGAGTGAGATATGGGAGAACCTGCGCCTTCCAGGTTACTCCGCTGGGTGCTGGTGAGTACAGAACCAGGAGATAATGCTCTCGGTTGGACTAGTTACCTCCCCTCTGATGGGGTCTGGGCTGCTGACCACAGCAGACTCCAGGACAGCTGGGTGCTCAGCTAGTGCACTCTCCACCTCAACAGGCCCGATTCGGTAGCTGGAAGAGAAAGACAAACTCTTTCAAGGGTCCTCCTCTCTCCTGCGAAACTTCAAAGGAAGAAGGAAAGTGTAGACAACTTGACCTTGAGGAATTGATCACATCATCATCTCTTCCCATGAACCAAAAGTAGCCATCCTTGTCCATGTGGGCTCGGTCCCCGGTGATGTAAAAGTCCCCTCGTTCTGATGCTGCTGTCTTCTCAGGGTTGTCCTGAAAGACACAGTGAGCCCATTAAGGGCCACCTGAACACAGTCACTCATTACTTATGGCCTGAGCAGTCCCTTGCAGATGTCTGAGGACCCCTCAACAGGAAATCCAGTGGCCAGAAGTCCCCACTGGACAGGGAGCTGTGAATCTGTGGGTTTTCCCTTTTTTAACTGAAAGGAAGCTGCCAGAAAATGATTAAGGACAGACACTCACTACCATCCTTAGAAGTGTCTAGGCAGCATACTTGTGGGCAGGGGGATGGGCACAGGGCTGTTAGCTCTGTCTTTTTTTTTTTTAATTTTAAAAATGCATTCTGAAAAATAAAGAAAAGGCTAAGCTATCAATACCTAAAAATAAATCTAACACAAAATCTGTAAGAAGCATATACAGAAAATATAAAACTCTATAGAACATCAAAGAAGATATGCATAACTGGAAAGATACACTTAATATCATAAATATGTTAATTATCCACACATTGATCTATGAACAATGCAACTTCAACTAAAATGCTAACAGTTTCCAGGGAACCTGACAAGTTGATTCTAAACTGACTATGAAAGAAAAGAGAAATAAGAGTAAGTAGGTAAAACATTTCTAAAGAAGTTAAGTAAGAAGGAGAAACTTGTTTTATTAGATACTGAGACTTATGGTAATGTTTTTGTGAATGCATCTCTAACTTTCTCAGGGTAATGATGCTTGTTGTCAGGCTGGGCACAGGAATGTACTCAATGTGCTGCCATCAGACCAAGGCCCTCAGGAGGGAATGTTCTACACAAAGCATAATAATCATATTACTCCCAAAGTGGGGGACCTCTAAGTAGTCATAAAAAATGAATTTTTCCCAAAATACTGAGTGCCACAAAAAAGACTCATGACATAATGTTAAAAAGTACATAGTACAAAGCTGTGGTATGGTATGGTGCCAATTATATGTGAAACTATACTTGAGGACCCTTTCATTGTAAAAAAGTTATCATTTCTGTATTATATAATCATATATTTCTTATAGAATAAATACAAAATAAAGATGAAGGATGACCAAAGATCAGTCTCACTATTCAGATAACTAAGGCTAAAAATTTGATCTTGTATATGGGAACTTTTCATGGCTTATCTGTGATTCTAGGCATACACACATTTGTGTGAATGCAAAATATTCTGTTCTATGTGTTTCTAAAATCCAATTTTACTTTAGTTAACAATATATCATGAACATCTCCTCAGAATAATAAAAAGTCTAATGAAATATGAGATAGTTGCATAATATTCCCCTGTGTGACTGCAATATTATTTATTTAAACAATTTCATGTTGTTAGAAATTGGATTAATTTTCTTTTTAGTTCTTTCCCTTTCCTTTTTCTCCTTTTTCTGTCTTTCTCTCTCTTCTTCTTCTTTTTTTTAATATGCAGTGCTATAATATCATTTATGTAACTGATTTCCCACTGTTAGAAATTCAGATAGTACGTCCACAATTTTTTGTCTGTTATAAACAACATTCTAATGAACATCTGGCATTTGACAGTTTGTTTCCATAGGAAGATAAGTAAATTCCTTACACTGGGCATAAAATTGACGTAGGCACGTGAGTTTAATTGACAAGGACAATCTCAGCTATTTGGAATGTACACACTAATGAAGGGGGATGAGCTTACCTGGTCAGTCCTACTGACAACTCAGCATTCACGGAGCAAGTCTGGCCTGACAGCTTCTATTAATTTTCAATGTTCCATGATTCTCATGAAGAGATTAAATGCTTTAAGAATTTTCTTTGCTAAAAATCACCCAGAAACAAAACTAACAGCTAGTGCTAGGATGAAATGAAAAAGTTGAAGAAAGGAAATGTTCTCGTTAGGAGGAAATATTCTCGTTAGGCAAAAATGTTACATTGACTCTCAATGGCATGATCACAGACTCACAAAGGTCCTGTATGGAAGCCCTATGAGGACGAGGGTCTTATCTTTCCTGTCCAGTGCTGTATACTTAGTGGCATGAAGTAGGTACTCAGTGAACACAGGAATAAATTCTTCAGGAAAGTCAAGGATTTACTTTTGTTTACAAAAGTGATTAGAAGGAAATGCATTTAAATTTTCACATCACCTCTGCTTGATGGAATTACTGTCTTGTTATTGTTGTTATTTTGTAGGTAGCTTTCTATGACTTTAAATGGAATGTCATGAAAGATTTTCCGCTTGTAATCACAGAAAAGTCACAAAATACATGTGCAGCATTTCAAAATCAAATGAACTGCTTCTTCCAATATTGCTGCTGACTGATGGCTTAGTATACACAGCAGATGGAGTTCCTATAAAGTTGGGCCACACATATGGATCAGCTGGGGAATTGATGCCCATTCTCAGAAAGTTGCCTCTCACTGACTTGAAACTTGAGTATCAGTCATGTGTGAAGCTTCCAAGCTGCTACTAATGAGCATCCAGTATTGAGAACCAGGTCAGCAGAGTTTTGTAGAGAAGAGTTTGGAGAAAACAGAATCTGTCATAAACACCACCTAAGGTGGGTATAAGGGAGAATTAATTACTGGATTATCACAGAAACTTGGACTGGAAACCCAGGACACAAGCCCTGACAGCAAACCCTTATCCACACAAGATTCAGGGCAAAGAGCCCTGAAAACTTGGCTCTTCTAAGAAATTTTAATTTGACCTTTGATAAGTCCCTTCCCTTCTCTGAACCTTGATTTTATCATCGGTAAAATGATTGAGTTGCCTTTATCTCATCATTAAATGATGGAATGTGTCCTTAGACACACCACATTTAAATCCCATGTCCTGAACATATTAATACTAAGTTATCAATATTGGATAAGTCACTTCATCTTTCTATAGCAGCCTCCTTATTGATGATAACATCTTATCAATATTAGTGCCAACTCATGCAGTTATTGCAAAAGTTAAACAAGTAAATATTTATAAAGCATAGAGCACCATGCTTGGCACAGTGCAATTGCCGTGAAAATGGCCATTCCCTGTTACTTACCAAATAGCACGTGAAGAAACAGAAGGGCCTGGTGGGTCTGACACGGATAGCAACATTCCCTTCTTCTCCAGGAGGTAAGATGTTGCCCTCCTCATCTACAACCTGGCAGAGAGATCACAGGATGGTGTCTTGATGTCTGTACAGCCAGGCCAGCCTGCTGGCTGTCTGCTATCGCTAATCCAGATATGTGTGTTTGCTCTCTTCATCAAGCCTTATTGACAGTTGGGAGAGGCTGCCTACCTGCACATCATATGGTGGGGACGCTTTCCCCATGGATCCTGACTTGATTTTCATCCCTTTTGGATTGGCACAGATTAGAACCTGAAGAGAAACCAGAACCAATAAGGAGGCGGCTTATCTCCTTAGTCTCCTTCCTGGCCCATGCATTTCCTTGCACTCTGCCTTCAAACTCTGTCTCCTCTTTCTTGTTCTTCCTCTCCCCTTCCTTTCATCTTTCCTTTCTTCCTTCCCTCCCTTTCCTTCCTTTCTTCCTTCAGTTCTTTCCACAGAGAACAAACACTTATGGAACACTCAATCGGACACTCACACATAAAGAACTTAAGCTGTCACGAAGCTAAAAGACTCAATTAATCACCACGTCTGTGCCCAAGTGGCTGTAGAAAATGCTGTTAAGATTGGGCTCTGACCAGGGACAGACATGGAACGTCCTGGTGGAGACAAACACCTCAGCCACAAGCGTTGGTTTGCTGGCTATGGTGTCATTGTAAAATTAAATTACCTTTAAAACAAAGGAGAAGAAAGGCCGATTGTGTTTCTAGCAGAAGCTAGTGTTTTGTCATTAGCTTCTCCTCCTTCTGAATGGGGAATGGATTTCCCTGGTGGTTCAGATGGTAAAGCATCTGCCTGCAATGCAGGAGACCTGGGTTTGATCCCTGGGTGGGGAAGATCCCCTGGAGCAGGAAATGGCAACCCACTCCATTACTGTTGCCTGGAAAATCCCATGGATGGAGAAGCCTGGTGGGCTACAGTCCATGGGGTCGCAAAGAGTCAGACACGACTGAGCGACTTCACTTCTCCTCCTTGTGGACAGGGCAGTCCCTGAAGGTGTCACAGAGACGACAGCTAGAAACGCAGGAGGCTCTGCAGACCAGCTATCCCTACGGACTGGCTGAGGGCTCAGATGGAGGTGACCAGGGCAGGGACTGGCCTGGCAGTACTCACGGTTTCAGACTGGCCATAGCCTTCGTGCAGCTCCAGGCCCGTCTGGTTCTTCCACTTTTCCCTCACATCAGGAGTCAGAGCCTCCCCTCCGGTCACACAGTGTCTCAAGCTCTGAAACTGGTACCTTTCTCAGCCAAAAAAACAAGGCCGCATATGTCAGAATCCCCATGCCCAACCCCATACTCTAGCACTTCTGACAGATACCTCGAGGCGCTAAAGCATAGGCTCCCATACTTATAAAGATTATAAATCTGCCCCAAGTGCCCTGACCTTGCAGGCATGGACAGAGAATTTTTTTTAAAAATCTTATCTGAGTTTGAAATAAAATCAGAACCTCATACAGTAGGCTTTGGCATAATACTGGTGAATTCCACATGAATTGGTCAAAATGATTAAGTTGCAAACAAACTAATTGATAATAAGTTGGTTAGGACAACCACCTGTGAAAAAGAGAAATCAATTAACAACTAAGAAAAGTAGCCCTTTAGAAACCCCAAAATTCTGACAGATATTAAATATGTTGCAAAACTATTCAACAAATTATTCAAAATGTGAAAGATAAGAGACTGTAAATAAATTTGTGATCATTTTCTCCTTTGGATTAAATTGGTTTGGCTATTACCTAATATTACCAAGTATCTTTCAATCACTTTCTGCTTGAACAAATCATTCTAAGTCTGCTTTTGATCAAATCATGCTGTGTAAATATTCACAATAGATCAATGGATATGAAGAATTCTTACATCATAGAGAATTAACCTTGAGAATCATGGAAGAACTCACTCTCTTAGGCACTTTATGACCAGATATATGAGATTAGGGAAGATAAGGGTGGTTGGGACATCTCCCATTATTTGGGAGAGAATAGAAGGAGGGAGACAGAGATGAGGGTCAGTAGGTTACCAGTGGGCATGGACCTCTCTCTACCCACCCCAGCAGTGAAACTCGCCTTACCAGAAGATGTTGCTTTGGATTCACCCAAGATGGGAGCCATCTGCAATATCTTGTCACCTTCAGTTGGGTGTCCAGTGGCATTCACTTGAGAACGGCTGGCTGGTGTTAGTATGGGACTAGGGATGGAGCTTCCATTGTGGTGGATTTGTTAGTCTAAGCAGACCTAAGGCTCTGGCCACAAACCTATTCCACAAGTGATTAACAATTATCCATCAATTTTTCTAATCTCATTGCTGAGGGAATGGCCTATGGGTATATGGGTGTAAACACCGAAATTTCAGACTGTTAAGTTCTACTCAGTTCAGTTCCATTTGGTTGCAAATTCCTGGGGGCCAGAAGCTCATTCCTAAGAGGTGTCTACAAAGGATATGGGTATATATGCTTGTGAGTATGTGTATACATGTGTGTGTGAGAGAGAGAAAGAGAGAGACACTGAGAGAAAGAAAATTGGAATAAGAGGGGACACGTGTTATAAGGGGTTCCTGTGCTATATATTTAGATACTTGGGTATCTAAAAGCACCAAAGCACCAAAACAATGAGCCATACCTGCTTAGATCCTCCTGCACAAGAAGACGGAAGATGGTGGGGACACAACAGAGGGTGGTGATCGGGAACCTGGACAGAGTCTAAACAAAAACGAAGTGTGGAGACCTTCTTAGAGTTATGAGGGTGGGATTTCACGGAGGGGGAGTGGGTGAATCAGGTCTTTTTATATTCCCATTATCAGAGGAGAAGAGTTGAAAACGCCATGTGGTTCCCAGCCTCCAAGATGGCCTGGAATGATTTCTACCTACCAGTATTCAAACTCGATCCCCTCCCACAATGTACCAAATTTGGTCTATGTGACGAATAGCATAACACAGACGTGGCATTTGGACTACAGCTTCCCCTTGGGCACTGTCACTGGCTCTCTGTCTCTTGGCTCACTCACTCTGGGAAAAACAAGCTGCTGTGTTGTGAGTACACTCCAGTCGTCCAATGAACAAGTTCACATAGTGAGCAACTGAAGCTTCTGTCTGTCTAAGAACCGATGAGGAATTGAAATTTTCTAAAACCTACATAAGTGCAGTTTAAAACATAATCTCCAATCCCAGTCAAATCTCAAGATAGCTGCAGCTCTGGCTGACATCTTTTTTCTTATTATTGTGATAAACATAACAGAAAAGTTACCATTTTAACTACTTTTAAGTACAGTCCAGCGGTATTAAGTAGATTCATGCTCTTTTGCAATCATCACCACCATTCACCTCTAGAACTTTTTGTAATCTTCCCAAACTAAGACTCTCTATCTCTTACATGATAACTCCTTATTTCCCCTCCCCCATCCTCTGACCATCTACTTTGTTTCCATGAATTTGATTACCCTAAGTATTTATATATTATCTGTCCTTCTGTCCTATATATTATTTCACTTAACATAATGTTTTCAAGATGATGTAGTATGTAGCAGAATTTCCTTCTTTTTAAAGGCAGAATAATAATCCATTGCAAGTATGTGTCACATTTTATCTGGGTTGATAGAACTTGGATTGCTTCCACCTTTTGACAATTATGAATAATGCCACTATCGACATGAGTATAGCTTTCTGACATCTTGACTGCAACCCTTTGAGAAATCCAGATCCAGATCCACCTGGAAGTTTATTCCAGATTCCTGATCATCAGAAACTGTGAGATAATAAATAATTATGCTTTAAATTTCTATGTTGTTTTAGTTACTAAGTCATGTCTGACTCTTTTGAGGCAAGAATACTGGAGTGGGTTACCATTTCCTTCTCCAGGTGATCTTCCCAACTCAGGGATTGAACCTGTGTCTCCTGCATTGGAAGGTGGATTCTTTACCTCTGAGACACCAGGAAAACCCCTTTTTAATTAATGTATTTTGGAGTGGTTTACTACATAGCAGTAGATGACTAACACACTACTTCAGAGTTGGGGGAAGTGGAGGGAGAAGGCACACATTGGTCTATCAAGCCCTGGATGAGTAATAATGATGGTGAGTTTGATAATGATGATAAAATAATTAATATGTGTTAAGAACCTACTACATGCCAGGCCATATGCCTAATATTATTTAATTCTCATAACAGCTCTCTAGAACCTTATTATCCCTTTCTTCACTGCCAGTGAGAAACATGAGGTTCAAGGAGATTACACGACTTTCCCAAGAAAACACAGCGAGCAAATGGAAGATGTAGGATCAAAGGCCAGGTTTGACTAATGGCCCAGCCTGTTCTATTAGCCACCATGTTATACAGCTTGCCTCAATGCAAAGAACATGGGCAGATGGTTCCTCTGATATTTTAAGAAATTGTGGTTAGGATGTGGAGGGCAGAAGAAAGATGCCCTATATCTTCACTGGGGACATGGATTATGAGAAAATCCTGGAAGGATGGGCTGGAGAGTCTAGGGTTGGGTGAACGATCTATGCTATGCACCATGGACAGCAGCACACAATGTTGAGGAGGAGGTTATAATTTCCCCCCAAGATGTTGAGAAATAACTCTGGTTTTGACACGAGCACGAGGAAGAAAGTAGTACCAGAAAAGGCACCCCACAAAAAAACAAATAGAACATGCAAAGGTTTGGAGATATTAAGTGGTCTTACGTCTAGGAATATAGCTAGAGGATGGGCAATGATTCAAGACAACCAGGAGGGCATGAACCAGATTATGGAAGGTCCTGGGAGATTTTTGGGTTAATATCAACATCAAAGAAACTTTATAGTCACTGATTCATGCTTTTTATCCTGCAAACTCAAAACCTATATCCCACTCATCTAATTTATACCCAACACAGAAGAGGTGTTTTTGTCTCTTACATTTAGGATAAATTTGGCATCAACCCGGGGCAACTCGTGCACAAAAATGCAAGATCCATTAGGCCAGGCAGAGAAGAGAGTCCAGGCTGCCTTCACCCAGGCAGTGTCGGTTGTGTTCCAGAAGACGTCTGATTTGGTCAAGGCCACCCACCTCCTGCCAGAAATGGGAGAAAATCAGAACCCTCAGCAATGTTTCTACCTTTAAAAAGAGTTACATCAGTCTGTTCTCCTCTTTGGAGCCTTACTCACTCACTTACACTTGTCATATATGTATAAGAACCATAGAGCCAAACTGCCTCCAAAGCATTTATTGAGCATCTTCTATATTCTTATCTCCTAGGCCAGAATCAAAAAGACAAATGTCCTGCTTCCAAAGACTTCAAAGTCTAGAGTGATACTTAAGGGAACAAGTAATCTCAGTGTAATATGGAAGGGCACTTTATTTATTCAGTCAATATTTATTCAGTATTTATCTTGCCCTGACCATTAGGGATAGAGAAATGAATGATTAGTCTTGCTTGGAGGGGCTTATAGTTTAGTAAGGATAAGCATAAACTTGGCATCATCCTTGAGGTTTGTCTCTCACCTCTCATCAAATCTTATTAGGTCTGCATTCAAAATACTTTCAGGATCACACTTCCTCTCACTCCTTCCGCTGCTATTCCCCCAGGCAAGCCTTTACCTTTGCCCCCTACAGTTTATTCTTAACCCAATATTCTGAGTTATCCTTTAAAAAAAAGCAAATCATATCTGGTCACTCCTCTGCTAAGAATACTCCAGTGTTCCTCAAAAAATTACATAGGATCACCATGTTATCCAGCAATTCTACTTCTGATTATACATCCAGAAGAATTGAACAGATATTTGTCCACCCATGTTCACAGCAGCACTATTGACAATAGGTAAAAGGTGGGAGCAGTCCAAGTGTCCATCAGTGGATAAGCAATGAATAAGCAATATTAGTATAGACACAATGGAACATTATTCAGTTCAAAGAATAAGAAGGAGATTTCTTTCCAAAAAGAGGAGGAGATTCTTACATAGGCTACAACATGAATGAACCTTGAAGGCATTATGCTTAGTAAAATACGTAAGACACATAAGGAAAAATATTGTATTTTTCTACTTTTATGAGGTTCCCAGAGTAGTCAAATTCATTAAGACAGAAAGTAGAATGGTTGTTTCAGAGCTGGGGGTAGGAGGCATTAGGGAGATTTTGTACAATGAGCACAGGGTTTCAGATTTGCAAGATGAAAAAGCTTTGCAGTTGAATGGTGGGGATGATTGCACAAAAATGTGAATTTATTTAATGACACTGAACTATATACTTAAAATGTTTAAAATGGTAACTTTAATGGCACATGTAGTTACCAAACTTAAAAAAAACCCCAAAAAACAGAAACACCTCCAGTCACTTCTCACCTCACTCAAAGTAAAGACTAAAGCCCTCTGATTTTACCTGATTTGCCCCCTTGTTAGCTCCTAACTTCGACTCCTGCCACTTTCCCCCTCACCCACACTCCTCCAGCTCACCTACCTACTTTTCTCTTCTTGGACCCACCAGACAAGCTAACCCCTGGTACCTCCCACTCGCCACAAAACCCAGTCCGTAGCTGGCCTGGGTGTGCTCAACCATCTTGGGGGCCCCAGTCGTGCCGCTTGTGAAGTAGACAGCCACTGGGTCTTGACTCCTGGTCCTTGCACAGTTGTGTTCTGTGGATGCCTCCCTGTAAAATACAAAAATATTATAGGGGTACTGTTAGGAGTGCCAACAGTCACAGTAATATCTATAACAACAAGACAGGCTACATTTGATAAATAGTATGTGTAAGGTACCTGCTGGAAGTGCCAGCTTAAGTTATCTCTGACCCCTACAATCACCTCGTGGGGTTATAACCATTTGCACATAAGGAAACTGAGGCTCAGAATAATTAAACGACTCACTCAAAAAAACCTGTGCTTTTATTAAGGCATGAGACCTTCTGGTGGAACCAGCATTTATGGGTTCTACCTCAGTTCCTGGTAATTCAGAGTTGTTTTCTTAAGTGTTCCCTAAATTTGGATTTTTGAGATGTGGGTAATTCCTAAAAGTTTTGTGATCTGGAGAATGTTCTAACTCACTATTTCTCAATCCTGGCTGCATCTTAGGATCACCTGATAGGTTTTTTGAAATAAATACTATTCTGTGGGCTCCAAGCTGAAGAAAATAGAATCAGAATCTTTGTTAGTGGGGCTGGGCACCATTTTTTTTTTTCTAAGTTCCTTATGTAATTCTAATGACAGCCAAAATTGAGAGCCTGCTGATTCAGACCAGCCTGACACTCATCAAAATCACGTGGGCAGATCACTGAATATAAGGATTTAGGCCCTTGTTCATATATGTCTGGTTAAGTAGGTCAGCAGAGAAGGCAATGGCACCCCACTCCAGTACTTGCCTGGAAAATCCCATGGACGGAGGAGCCTGGTGGGCTGCAGTCCATCCGGTCGCTAAGGGTCGGACACGACTGAGCAACTTCACTTTCACTTTTCACTTTCATGCATTGGAGAAGGAAATGGCAACCCACTCCAGTGTTCTTGCCTGGAGAATCCCAGGNATCAAACACCATGCTTGTCATAAAACAGATGTTGGCTAAATTTTTGTTGTAAGATTGAATGCAGGTGAATGCTTGCGGGGAGTGGCTTGAAAGAGCTGACTCTGGGAGCTGCCTTGATTGATTCTCAAGGGTCTGTTCGCAGACATAGCTCTCTGTCCCGCCACCTCTCTGGAATTTATCATCCAAGTTAAATCTTACCAGAACATTGGTAAGCCTTGAATGCACACACAGCGCAGATAGATAGCCTTGCACAACTGCCCTTAAGATAAGTAGGATGCCTTTCTTATCCCTTGGCGCCATGAGAGAGCTCTGGTGATTGTTATCTTGAAGATGATGCACATGGGGAAGAATTTTCTTTGGGATGCCTCCTTCTTGGTTTAGTATCAATGAAGCTTAGGAAAATAAAGAATCATCGCTGACTGCAGCAATCCTCTCGACCCCATCTGTTCTGTATCTTTAATTCTTAGCCTATAGGAACGCATCGTGCTTCCCGTTCGAAATCTTCTGGCTGGCCCGGCAAATGCTAACCCAGCACAACACCTGGAATACATGCAGTTCAGTTGCTCAGCTGTGTCTGACTCTTTGCGACCCCATGGACTGCAGCATGCCAGGCCTCCCTGTCCATTACCAACTCCCGGAGTTTACTCAAACTCAGGTCCATTGAGTTGGTGATGCCATCCAACCATCTCATGCTCTGTCGTCCCCTTCTCCTCCTGCCATCAATCTTTCCCAGCATCAGGGTCTTTTCAAATGAGTCAGCTCTTCGCATCAGGTGGCCAAAGTATTGGAGTTTCAGCTTCAACATCAGTCCTTCCAATGAATATTCAGAACTGATTTCCTTTAGGATGGACTGGTTGGATCTCCCTGCAGTCCATGGGACTCTCAAGAGTCTTCTCCAACACCACAGTTTGGAATACATTAAGCACTCAATATATGGAAGAAATTAGATTATTAATTGGCCACCTACAATGTACTAAGCGCATCATGTAAATCATCTCATTTACTCCATCTGATCATCTGTATTTATTACCACATCATAGAGACAAATACACAAAAAAATCTAGCGACAATTCTAGTACTGACTAAGTGAATAACACTGAAGGAACTTCAGGTAGTCCCCAGGAGGATTAGGTCTCAGGTCTGTCTTGCTTCCAAAGTGATTCACCTTTCTGATTCACTCTCTCCATGTGCAATGAGAAATCCATTCTTTTTACACAGGGGGAAATGCCTTGGCCTCATTTTTAAGCTCACCTCTGGAGAGTTCCAACTTACCAGAGGAGTTCCCTGAAGTTCATCCAGCCTGGCCGATAGCTGTCTGACACAAGCAGCTTGGTCTGAAGGGAAGGGCAGTCGGAGCTAATGGCATCCACCCGTGGGGCCAAGTGGTCACTGGTGATAATGGCCTTGGCTCTGGATGCCTGCAGCCGAAATTTGAGGTCTTTTTCTGTCAGCTGAGAGATGGCAGGAATCATGATGGCCCCTGATACCACACAGAGAGAGGATGTTGACTGGGTGACAGGGAAGACCCCTGTGAACAGGTCCAGACCAGATATTCCCAGATAGAAGCAGGAAAGGGCCAGAGATATTTAAAATGCCTGAACTGGAAAAGGCACTATTAATGATAAAATATTGAAATTCAGAGAATATTTACAGAACATTTACACATGCTAAGAACTTTGCATGTGTAACTTTGCATTATTTCATTTAATTCTTACAACCCTGGAAAGTAGATGTTATCATTAAACCCATTTGGCAGATTCGAAACACTAAGACCTAGACCTTTCTGCCTTAAATAAATTAACTATCCCAGGATCATACAGCTAAAATGTTGTAGAGCTGTGACTGTGAACCCAGGCAGTGGTAACCTTAAGACTCCATGATCTTGAACACTGTATTACATTGTCCTGGAAATTACCTGGAGAAAGAAATGGCAACCCACTCCATTATACTTGCCTGGAGAATCCCATGGAAAGAGGAGCCTGGCAGGCTACAGTCTATAGGGTCTCAAAGAGTTGGACATGACTGAAGCAACTTAGCATGCACACACGCAGAGATTACCTAGTTCAATGCTTTTTCAGGCCTTTCAAACAAAAGGCTATAGTGAATCTTAGCATTGGGTGTGGGTCACTTGGGGCAGGGGCAAGGGTATAGCAGTGGGGGCTCCATGGCCCCATATTACTTCAAACAAAACCATTCTATAGTAGTTGAGTTCATCTACTCTCAAGGGGAAGTGATAAGGAAACAGAAAGCAGGGGCAAATTTTAATCAGACACTTGAAAAACCACTTGAACATCTCAGAATGCAGGCTGTAAACACTCCACACTCCACTGAGTCCAACATTCTCATTTCACAGAGGAGAAGAAAGAGATCCTAAAATAATTGGCCACCCAGTGAATGAGGACAGAAGACAGAGGAAAGGGCCAATCCCAAATAGGGTGGAGTCCAAGCAAAACTCTCATTTCCCTTCTCTCCATCTCCTAAACTTTATGGGATTTAAAGCCCAGCATGAACACTTTGGGAGCTGAGCAGTTTGGTTCTTCACTCCACCTCTCTGTTTTAGCTGTTTCTAATACAAGTCTGTTCTATCCGGAGCTTTGGTGGCCCAGAGATGGTGGGCAGCCGGAGCTGTCAGCAAGAGAAATGAGGTGAACACCATAGACTGAAAGAAAAGTGACAAGTGCTTATCAGGAGAACATGGGGATGTGAGAATGTGAGGTCATTCAGGTTGTGTCACCTTGGGAATGAACAGGATGCTAGACTTGATGTGGCAATGGAGAACATGGTCTTGAGCTACTTGGACAGCAAAGAAATGGGGTATGTGTATAATTGTTGAAACTGGAGACATTTTTCGGTTATAATTCCAGAAAAAAATGATAATAATACTGCAAAGAGAAGTTTTGATCATGCAAGGTGCCTAACACAGTGCCTGGAGCAGAGCAGATCCTCAGGATCTCCCTTACCTCAGTCCTCATTTAGATGGATTTTGTATTCATGGCAGAATATGGAGAAGTCCCCAACCCTGTGTGCCTGTTTCTTTTCTTCAGAGCTGGATACACTGTAATGGTGCTCACTTTTATTTGTTGTCCAAAAATAGGTAAAAATAAAGTTTTGGGGAGAACAACCTATTCACAAAATGGTTGGATTAAGCTTGATCATACAGAAAGGTCAATTTTCTGATATGAGTTTGTACTGATTTGCAGACATTTGTGACAACAGATTTCAGGTGGATTGTTCTACAGATACAACTGGAAGGGAGTGGACGACTTTCTGAGTGGTAGAAAGTTCCTAGGGGATGGAGGAACTAGCACCCCACCAAAAGTCGATGTCTTGCTTTTGAAAATTCGGCTTAAAACTTCCGGCCTTTTCACCTTTTGCTTGGGCCGGGGCCGGCGGGGGTTTTTGGGGGTACTGAGGGCTATATCCTTTGGCCTCCCCTCCTTTGCGGAAGGAACCATCTGAAGATCAATAAGTTCAAGACAGCAGTCATCCCTTGATGGGTGAGGCATGTGAGCTCTAGTTCACCACAGTCCTCAGCACTCCCTGCTGCCTCACATTGTTAGGGAAATTAAATGAATAGTCTTGTTTAGGCTTCAGAGACAAAGCAGAGCAGTCCTCTGACCTTGCCTCTAACCTTCAGGGACACTGCCCAGACTGGAAGTGACTGCCTGTTGTGAATGCAAGATTTGCAGCACCAAAGATAAGATGGGGGAGAAATCTTGAGATTGTTGAGCCCCTAGAGGGGGCCTGGCCAACCAAGTCCCAGGCTTAGCAACATTCTAAGTTTTACAAGACAAAACAAACATCATTAACATGAAATCAGGCTTGCAATTTGGCCACAGATTGATGATGATATCAGTTTTTGTAGTCCTGGGATTATAAGCAGAACACTGAACTGCAATCTTTGAAGTCTCACCCATGGAGTCGACACACTGCCTGGGACCCTTTCCCAACTGGGACTCACAATGTGCTATGACATGGGGCTTCCCAGTGCTGTTTAAGTCTGGATGTTGGTCAAAACCCAATTTGGTGATGTAGTCTCTGCTCTTTCTATTTCTCTTTTCTTTTAATGTTGGTATGTTGAAAGCAAGCTAGATAATTCTCTAATACATATCTGTATTCTCTATTTGCATATAACGAGTGGCTTACTTTGTTAACAAATCCTTTGAACCTGAGATGAAAGTGGAAAACATTTGACAAAACACATACTGACCTGCTTTGATCAATTACAGTGCTCTCTGGCCCCTGCACACAATCATGCTGTGATTGGAAAGTAAACAAAACTCCACATGAGGTTCAACTTACTCCATCTCCCAGACATTGTGGAAGCTGCCCAAACTCGGGCAGGTTATGTCAGCCCCAACTGGGAGTCTCAACCCGGTCACTGACCTGTCCGCATACAAGCCACGCTGACCAGCCACCACTCCGGGAGCCGTGGGAGCACCAGCATCATTCTGTCTCCAGGCTGCAGGCCACAGGCACCCTCCAGCACATTAGCCGCCTTCCTGGACTGCTCCCCCAGCTCTTCAAAGCTCCACTTGACCTCTGCTCCTGCACCATCAACCCACCAGAAGGCAGGGATTGGGGGCCGGTGGCCAGCCTAGAGAATTGTATAGGCAAAAAAGAAATAGAAGACGTGGGTGAGGATTTTTGTTTGTTTGCTCTTCTTTTTTTTTTTTTTTTAACTTTTTTTTACAATAGTTATTAAAGTCACAGGGTTAAAAAATCAAAATGATATGAAAAGATATGCATTGAGAAGGCTTCTTCCACACTGGGCCTATCCTGCTCCCCACTTCACCTGTCTCAATGAGCAAACAGTATTATTAGTTTCCTGCAAATCCTTCCAGTGCATCTTTAGGCAAACATAAATATATTCTTTTTTTCTATCCCATCTTTTTAAAGTAAAATATAGTCTAAGATTTATACTATTCTGTGTCCTCCCTTTTTAAAAACTGAGATGCAATTCTCCTACCATAAAATTTACCATTTTGAAGCACACAATTCAAGGGGTTTTGGTATATTCACAAAGTTATGTAACCATCACTACTATCTAACTCCAGAAAATTTTCATTATCCTAAAAAAATGTTTTACACATTAGTAGTCACACCCTATTCTTTCCTTATCCAGCCCCTGGCAACCACTAATCTATTTTCTGTATGGATTTGTCTATTCTGGTTATTTGACATGAATGAAATTATGCAATATGTGGTCTTTTGTGTCTGGTTTCTTTCACTTAGCATGTTTTCAAGGTTTATCCATGTTGTAGCATGTATTGCTGTTACATTCCTTTTAATGGCCGAATAGTATTCTACTGCATGGATAGACCATATTTTGTTTTTCCATTCATCAGCTGATGGACATTAGTGTTGCTTCCACTTCCATAAAGTTTTTATGAACATTTATGCATAAGTTTTTGTATGAACATGTGCTTTCTCTTCTCTGGGATATATACCTGTGAGAGTAGTGCTAGGTCATATGATAACTCTATGAGTAATTGCCAAACTGTTTTCCACAGCATCTGTACCATTTTACATTTCCACCAGTAATGTATGAGGTTTCTAATTTCTCTATATTTTTGTTAACACTTCTTAGCAAACACTTTGGTTTTCTTTCTCTATTTTTTCTGTTTATTTCTTCTTGCCCAACACTTTTTTGTTTGTCTGTTTTTGCTTTTAGCCATGTCACTCTGTATGAAATTGTACCTCTTTGTGGTTGGGATTGCTTACCCGTAATGAATAAAGATGTTGAGCATTTTGCCATGTGTCTGTTGGCAATTTGTTTATATTCTTTAGAGAAATGCCTATTTGAATACTTAGCCAATATTTTAATTGGGTTATTCATACATTGCAGATATGTGCTATATATATATATACACACACACACACATATACATAAATTATATATCTCAGATATGTGATTTTGTGGGTTGTCTTTTCATTTTGACCTACAAATGCTAGAAATTTTCATGAAATTCAATTTATCTACTTTCTTCCATTGCTTATACTTTAGAAACCATTACCTAATCCAGGATATGCACCTATATTTTCTTCTAAGAATTTTATATTATTTTCTCCTTCATTTAGGTCTTTGATCCATTTTTGAGTTAATTCTTGTATGTGGTGTGAGGTTGGGGTCACATTCTTTTTTTGCATGTGAATATCCAGTTGTGCCAGCACCATTAATTGGAAGGACAATTCTTTCCCCATTTAATTTTCTTGGCACCTTTGTTGAAAACTAACTGACCATAGATTTATGGGTATATTTCTGATTCTTAGGTTTATCCCATTCATCTATGCCTATCCTTATGCCAGTACCAGATTGTCTTCTTCTTTTTTTCCTACACAGTCTTGATTACTGTAACTTTGTAGTAGGTATTGAAATAAGAAAGTGTATGTCCACCAGGTTGTGCTTCTTTTTCAAGATTGTTTTGGTTATTATGGGTTCCTTGCATTTCCACATGACTGTTTGGACAAGATTGTATATTTTTGCAAAGTCTACTGGAATTTTGATAAAGCTTACATTGAATATGTAAATCAATTTGGTATATATTGTCATTTTTTTGCAACTTCATAATTTATGCCTTAATAACAATTCAGTTTTTAAAACATACAGATCAACTTATTCATACTATTCCTTTATGGAAGAGACTTCAGGTAAGCTTTTAAAAGTATGAATAACATAATACATAATTATTTTCTGGTAGTTCTTGGCTGCTGAAAGTTAAATTTCATCAGATGTATTTTAACATTTTCAGAATAGTCACAAAGGATATGTAATTTTTGCATAATGAGGTAATATCTCTGGGGCATTCTCATTGAAGTACACCCAGATGTTAACCAGAGTGTCTTTAGTATACATTCCCTGGATTACTCTAATCTTTAGTTAGTTTCTAGAATTCTGAAAAGTTGATTATGACTAAGTTTTTTGTTTTGCTTTTATGGAGAATAAAATTTCAGAAAGTCCTTATTCCATCATTTTTGCTGACTTAACCCTCTTTGTTTGATTTTTTTTCATGAGGAGAAGTCTTCTAAGAATGAGCTTGTGTGCATGCATGCTAAGTTGCTTCAGTCCCATCTGACTCTTTGTGACCCCATGGACTGTAGCCTGTCAGGCTCCTCTGTCCATGGGATTTTCCAAGCAAGAATACTGGAGAGGGTTGCCATTTCACTGGAGAGGAAGCTGCTGTCACCCCCACTCCACAGGCAAGGAGCTGGGGTCACTTCAGGCCCACATAGCCTGTGAGCTTATGAAATCCAGGGGACTACAGAGCCTGGCAGGAAGGTCATTTCAGGGAAGCACTGAATAAGCTTAATGTGGTTTTATTTTCTAAAAAAATCTTATACTTTGTAGATAGTAAAGGAGCACCCTGACCCCAATCTCTTATTTCTCATTTAATTCTCACAGCTCCAGTTGGCATACTGTATGACTCCATTTTTATAGATGAGGTAACTGAGATACAAGGAGCCTAGCGATTGGCTCAAGGTCATGCTTCAAGCAGATAAAGCACATCTGACAGCAAAACTTACTTTTACATCTCAGTCATTCTCATACCACCTCCATACATTTAACCATATCCACTAATGATAGACTATTACCACATCTACTCACAATATTACTTAGCTCATCTTTTTTCTTTAAACAAGCTCTTCTTAAAATTAACATAAATAAATTTCTTTGAGATAAAGTTTATATTCTTCTACTACAAACAAAATGTATCTTTAACATAGAGTACAAAGGGAGGCACAACAGACAGACAAGGAAGGAACGATAAAGAAGGAAGCAAATGCACAGACATACGAGGAAGTCAAGATCGTCTGAATTCAATCCTATGTATTTGCTGTGATCTGTGAAAAGTTTGAGCCTGAGCCAAGCTCTCCCCTTATTTAAAAAGGGATGGACCCAAAGTGAGGAAGATACTAAAAACAGATTAGTAGTAGTACAAAACTTTCTCCACTTGCTCAGAATGATTCAAAGGATTTGATTGGGGCATAACTCTCCCCCTGGGTAATTTGGGTTTAGGAATGTGAGAATACTAGGGATTAGGTAGGGGTGTCTAAGGCTCCAAGACTTAGTCATAATAGCTTTTTTAAGGCTTAAATGCTCACAGTTTAAATTTTAAGACTTGCAAAACTCTCAAGCCACGATGTACACGTCTTATAGCCTCAAGTCTCACTGGGGTTTTGCGAAGGAGGAGTCTAATGCCCAAGTTGGACCCTAGGACACTGTGAGCTTCACCTTTTCCAGCTGACTCCACACGTCCAGCACATCATGGGCAAAGTTGAAATACTCAGGCACTGGCTGCCTGCCCAGGCTGATGGCTTCCCAGGTGGCCACAATCTTCTCCGGGACAGGAAGGGGCGGTGGCTGCCCATGAGACCCACAGATACCCCGAGCATTTCTCAGTGCCTGGAGGACCAGCTCTCTTAGCCATAGCCTCATGTTGCCTCCTGCCTGTCATCAAAGAAAAGAGAGAATGTCATCACGAATTTTGGGCTTTAGGGAGACTGAGGTTGGAGAGAAACCTGTGGTCAGCCCTAGGGTGACCACAGCACATATTGCCTTGTAGAGCAGAGTCTTCAGCTTTAATCTGAGTTCCATGGTGTGATTTTGATCATTTCTCCTCCCTGGGCCTGAGGTTCATTTCTTCCACCTTTCACGGCCTGTTGGATCTCTGTGGAGGGCAGGAACTCAGAGTCTACCTCCCAAGGCTCAGTCCTTCAAACTGAATTCCTCAAAAAGCCTTTGGCAAATCCTGAACTGGCCTGACAAGTCTGAAGAAAGCTCCAGGGAAGCACCTTCCAAAAGATATGTGATATGAACCACACCTTCTCCCTTAATGCACAACTCTGGTAGTTTCATTCAAAAAAATTAAAAAGAAACAAGTGAATACATTTTATTTAACTATTGTGGAATGGAATGGAATGAAGTGAAGTGAGTCGCTTAGTCGTGTCCGACTCTTTGTGACCCCAGGGACTATACAGTTCATGGAATTCTCCAGGCCAGAATACTGGAGTGGGTAGCTGTTCCCTTTTCCAAGGGATCTTCCCAACCCAGGGATTGAACCCAGGTCTTCCACATTGCAGGTGGATTCTTTACCGCCTGAGCCACAAGGGAAGCCCTTGTGGAATGGAATACTTTCTGCCATATCAGTGGGCAAGAAATGCCACAGCCATCAGTGATTTGGGGCCTCCAAATGTGAATGCAGGCTCCCCAAAGGGAATGCAACGTCTACTATCCATCTGATGTGATGCTCCCCATGGTGATTGCTGAAGAGCTGGGGGATGGGTGGGAAATGCAAGAAGCAACCATCCACTATATCTGCCACGCCTTGTGGTGAACAAAGAATTAAGGATGTAAACAATCAAGAAATAGAGTTTGGCCCCAGAGAGCTGAGGGGCATAAGAGTGAGTGAGTGTTGCTCAGTCATGCCTGACTCTTGCAACACCATGAACTGTAGCCTGCCAGGTTCCTCTGTCCATGAAATTCTTCAGGCAAGATTATTGGAGTGGGTTGTCATTTCCTTCTCCAGAGGGACATATGAAAGGAATGAATTCAGTGAGCCCAGAGGCTAGCATCCTCCTACAGATTGAAGCTAAATTCCTTAATATCTGGTTTTCCATACTTAATAATCTTCAATGTTCATACTGCCTGCCCCCTTTGTTCCAAACTTGTATATAGCCTGACTCCCTTTTCTGCCTCCTCAGAGCAATTTTCTCAGGGCTCCTGAGATGCTGCCTCCTGGGCTGGGAGTCCTTAACATCCCCACCAAATAAAATAATTCTCTACTTTCAAGTTGACACTAGCTGTATCCTATAATTTCAAACATGTAATCAATATCAGAAGACATTATTAGAGAGATATTTTATGTTCTGTTGTTCTTAAGTCTTTGAAGTCCAATGTGCATTTTCCATTTACAGGCACACTTCGGTTTAGACCAGCCACATTCAAATGCTCCAAAAGCTCCACGTGGCTAGTTTCTACTGTATTGGACCAGAATATTTTAGTATCTGGATATTCAGAGTGTAGTCTATGGACCAGCGACATCAGCATTACTTGGGAACAGGTTACAAATGCAGAACCTTAGACCTCACCCAAGACCTGTGGAATTAGAATCTGCATTTCAACATGAACCCCAGGCCAGCTGAGCACATTAAAGTTTAAGAAGTGAAGCAGTGGCCACGGGACAATATCCCCAGATTCATTTCCTTTCTGTCAAGTTCCTGTTAGTAATAATAATAATAGAATGCAGTAATAATAACTGCCATAAACTAAATGTTTGTGCTCTCCCCAAATCCATGTGTAATTTATTCCTAACCTCCAATGTAATGGTGTGAGGAGGTGAGGCTGCTGATTGGTGATTAAGACATGAGGGTGGAACCCTTATAAAAGAGACCCCAGAGAACTCCCACCTTCCTTCTGCTTGCTGAGGCTAGAACTATGAACCAGGAAACAGGCCCTCACCAGACACCAATCTGCCCATGGTGCCTTGATCTTGCACTTTCCAGCCTCTAGAACTATGACAAACAATGACAAACTTGTTTAAACCACCTAGTATGTGGTATTTTTGTATAGCAGCCAAAACGACTAAGACAAAAATAATAATGTGCCAGGATAACAAGAAAAGCAATAACAACTGTCATCTCAAGCATTTGAAAAGGGCTTTATAAATGTTATTTCCTTAAATCCTAATAACTGTGTAATGTGTTATGTTCTCTATTTTACAGATAAAGAAAGCAAGGCTTGGAGAGAAAAAGTGACTTCCAGGTCTCACCTCCCAGAAAGCTAGACCTCAGGCCCTGTGTGGCCCCCAGCCCTGCTGTGGGCCAGGCTGGGGGTGGTGGCTGCAGCTTCAGGACTCCCTTTCCTTCACCTCCCTCCCTTACTCCTTACCTCTCCAGAACTCTGCCCCAAGCCCTTTCCTCTGCTTTTCTCTCCTGGATTCCTGGGGTCCCTTGACAGCAGATGTTTAGAATCTCAGGCTTCCTTCCTAAGTGTACAAAGCCCCATTCCCGGCCCTACCCCCTTTAAGCTTAAATCAGTAAAGGCTTGGGGCAGCTGACACCTTCTGCCAAGCATTTCTCTTCACTGTACCTTGTTCTTGAACCCAGGAAATGCGAAGACTTCCAGGTTTTGCTTCAGTGGAATGCGGGCCTTTGTGCCTGTAAACAAACAGGCTCCCAGGAACACTGGTAAAGGCAATCTGCTAACTCAGCCTCCTGTGGGAACCTTGGCCCCAAATGCAGCCAAGAGAGGGCAGAGCCTGAAGCCAACAGAGGACGGCGTCAGCTGGTCAGCACACTTGAGCCAGCGAGAGTCGCCCTGCAAACGTTTTTTCACAGCTGGGAGATGCAATTCCAACCCCAGGGCCTGGAGGGTCCTGGACTCCACTAGGGGATATTTTCCCTGAAACTTCAGGTCACCATCTAATCCAGAAAGAGAACAGGAACTTTATTATATTCTGGCAGAAAGGAGGCCATAGCGACAATAATATAAATCAAATCATGTCCCTTTTCTGTGCAAAGCCCTCCAGAGACAGGAAACAGACAAGAAGTAGATGGGCAGTTACCTAGAGCAACAGGACACAGGGGATCTTTTTGTTGGAAATGTTCTAAACTGGGAGCGTGGCCATGACTGCACATCTCTATAAACTTCAGTTCAGTTCAGTTGTCGCTCAGTCGTGTCTGACTCTTTGTGACCCCATGGACTTTGCGACCCCATGGGCTCGATAAACTTAGCAAAAGAAATTAACAGTAATACAAATACTTGTACACTTGAAATGAGTGAATTTTTTGGTATGTTAATTATACCTAAATAAAGCTACTAAAAATAACTAAACCTCCTCTGTTGCCTTGTGTCTGTAAGCGTCAAAGTCAAAGTCTCAAAAGCCCAGTTCTCACTGGGCTTATTGGGCTGCAGCCACTGTAGTCTACTTGTGGGATTGAAGTTCTGGCTTGGGGTGGGGCTGCTGGTAAACCGGTTCTCTGAGAACAAAAACTGTGAATTCAGGTGAGGAGGCAGAAGGTAAAGAGTAAAGTAAAAAGTTTATTGAAAGGAAAAGTACAGGCGGAAAGGCGCATGGGCGAGCTCAGAGAGACAGTCGAGCCTCTGGGAAGTTTAAATCCTTTATAAGGGCATTTCTCCAGGTCTGTCTTCCCTCAGGTCAATCACCTTGCTTTGCTCCACGCTGATTAATTTGTCTCAGGACACTCCCCTGAGGCGCACATGTACACTTTAGCTATTAAGGTGTGGCTAATCTCTTGCACACCATTTGAATCTCAAAGTGAAGTCTTCTGGGAGGAGCAAGACTCACTATGGCCTGGAATCACCCTCTAACTTTTGACTCCAAGGAGCCTTTCTGTATATGTATCAGTTCAGTTCAGTTCAGTTGCTCAGTTGTGTCCAATTCTTTGCAACCCCATGGACTGTAGCACGACAGGCCTCCCTGTCCATCACCAACTGCCAGAGTTTACTCAAACTCATGTCCGTTGAGTTGGTGATGCCATCCAACCATCTCTTTCTTCTGTCGTCCCCTTCTCCTCCCGCCTTCAATCTTTCCCAGCATCAAGGTCTTTTCAAATGAGTCAGCTCTTCATATCAGTTGGCAAAGTATTGGAGTTTCAGTTTCAGCATCAGTCCTTCCAGGGAATATTCAGGACTGATTTCTTTTAGGATGGATTGGTTGGATCTCCTTGCAGTCCAAGGGACTCTCAAGAGTCTCCAACACCACAATTCAAAAGCATCAATTCTTTGGTGCTCAGCTTTCTTTATGGTCCAACACACATCCATACATGACTCCTGGAAAAACCATAGCCTTGACTTGATGAACCTTTGTTGGCAAAGTAATGTCTCTGCTTCTTAATAAGCTGTCTAGGCTGGTCATAACTTTTCTTCTAAGGAGTAAGCATCTTTTAATTTCATGGCTGCAGTCACCATCTACAGTGATTTTGGAGCCCAAGAAAATAAAGTCAGCCACTATTTCCCCATCTATTTGCCATGAGGTGATGGGACTAGAACTAACACCCAAAAAAGATGTCATTTTCTTTATAGGGGACTGGAATGCAAAAGTAGGAGGTCAAGAAACACCTGGAGTAACAGGCAAATTTGGCCTTGGAGTACAGAATGAAGCAGGGCAAAGGTTAATGAAAATTT